TGTAGGGAAAAACTTTAAAATTTCAAAAAAGCATAGAAAATAAGGTACACACATGTATGCAAACAATTAAGTGAAAAAGTGATGAATTAATTAAAAAAAACGTGTCAAATGCGGCATTCAAGGTATAGTTTTCATTTTGGGGAAAAATGGTTGTTACCATCATTTTCTACATGTCTTAAAGTGTGGGAAATAAATTTAAAATGTCAAAAAATGATGAGAATTAAGCTGTAAAAAATTATGTGAAAAAATGGGTCTAATTTCAGTATTAAAAATGAACCGTTGAGTTTTAAAAAAATTGGATTGCACCATTAAATTCTGCACACATTGAAACCTAGGAAATAATTTTAAAATTTCAAAAAAGCATAAAAAATAAGGTACATACATGCATGCGAACAATTAATTGAAAAAATGAGTAAGCAGAAAAAAAAAAAAATTAAAGTCATTTTTATGGTAAATAGACTTTACCATTAAATTCTACACCCTTCAAAGTGTAGGAAAAAAAATTAAAAAATCAAAAAAACTCGAAATTAATGGCAAAAAAAAATTAATTAAAAATGCGGGTTTAAAAGCAGAATGCGCGTGTGCTGTGCCGCAGCAAAAGCGCGTCAAAACGCGGAAAAGGCGGGTTTTTTTATTAAGGCCCAAAAAAATTAGTAAAAAATAAAAAAAAAAATACATAAAAATAATAATAATATAAAAAAAAGAGGAATCTTACATACCTTGATCTTCAACAAGGGCCTTAATTTCTGACACATACTCTTCAGTCACCTCCTCTGACTGTGCCTCTAAAAAAAAAAATAAAAAAAAAAAGGAAAGAAAAAAAAAAAAAAAAAAAAAAATTAGTAACAGTTCTTAGCTGATGCATGTAAAGCTAAGAAATTGAAAATTAGAATTAGTAAAGATCTCAATGCGCCGTGCGGAAGGGAAAATCTCAACTCACAGTCGAAAACAGGTCTTTGACGCGGCTGTACAACCGCAAACGCTGAATTCGACTGGTTTCATTGGCGGCGCGGGAGCTCCTGGCGAAGCGGATGAGTTCGTCTGTGATCAGGATTCTCAGGTCGTGTATTTCTTCGAGCAAAAAGGTGTCGCGGGTGAAAGCCTGACTGAAGTTGGAATAATCGCCCGGTTGTGAAGAAGAATGCTTGTCGACGGAATCATAGTCGACTGGGGAACAAATGCCAATGGAATCGTAATCAATGGACGAACGCTCGTCGATGGAACCCGACTCTGAGTATGTGCCGGTGTAAAGCTCAAAAGTGTTTGTGAAAACCTTTTGCTGAGTGTGGAAAGGGATGAATGAGGATACCTCTGCCTTTCCTGGATCACTAGACACTAGACAAGCCCACCAATCTCAGATTGGAAGGTTTAATAAAGTGATAGTGGAGTGTATCAAAAGATAACTGTGGCTTAACAGGTGGACAAAGGGTTTAACCCAGTTTTATATAGGTCTAAGAGGTTGATTTGAGAGTGAGAGAGTGAGTCTAGCTGATATTTCAATGGTAAGGGGATGGTATGTAATGGTATGTAAGGGTTTGTAAGGGTAGGGGGTATGAAATAGGTGGATACTAAACTGAGGGGAAAACAACTGAGAGGAGAGCCTCTTAAATACACAAAGGTGAGGGATTTTAGCTTCAGGGGAACAAGAGAATGAGAGATTTTAGCTGGCCAGAGCTTTACAATGAGGGGATTTAGCTAGTCAGAACATGTACATGAGGTATTTTGGCTGGTTGAGCCACCTACATGATGTCATAAGAGTTATTTTAGTTTGAACTAGAAGTCTACATGAGGGTTTTATGCTGGTGTAGCATTTTACATGAGGTGATGTACTAGTCTGCAAGCTAAGGTGAGGTGATGAGTATTACATGAGTGGTGTGAGATAGTCTGACAGCTGCAAGGAAGATTAACAAATGACATGACAACCTGCATGATGTCACTTGTAAATCCAGAGTGGTACCAGACCAACACTGCATGTGTCAACTGTCAGAAGATAGTGGAGTGGTGTGTATACATGTACTATAATGGTGTGAGAGTGTATGTAGTTGTCCTGCAATGTACATATGTATAGTGTGAATGATGTAATTTGTTGGTGTTGTTGAGTGTTGAAGTGTTAACATGGTCTTGAGTTGTGTAATTGAGTGTATTGATGGTCCAGAGGGTGTAGCTTCCAATCCAGTTGAGTTCCAGTGACGCCTCCAGTGGTGACCAAGGGTAAAATTGACCATAGAATCCAGTTCTTGAGCCATAATGGTTGATTTGTGAGTGTATATATGAGAAAAAAGGTGTAAAAAGTATGTAATTTGTACTAAAAGAAAAAACTGTAAAATTTTTAAATGGTCCAGATGGCTACCCTTAAGGTATACCACACCGGTAATAGTAGCGTTGGACGAGGCGATGGACATAGGCCGCGAGGAAGTCATGGCTAATCAAGATAAGAAAAGTTGTTTGTTTTTTGGGGAAAAGCCTAAGAGCTGCGATAAAGGACGGAGGCGATAGTTGGGGCTGTTGAAGGTGTACTCTGATCTAGGGTCCACGAGGCGGGTTTTATGTTCATCAGGTTGCATTAGACAGCAGCCTTACGGGACTGAAGCCATCCTCACTCACTTGAGTCGATCGACTTTGGACGCTGTCTGCTATCACGCCGAGGTTTTAAAATTCCTAGCCTGATTAATGACGACTTCTTGGTTGATGCGCGTCATCGCCTTCGATCACGTTAAGGACACCATCAAGCGGACTCGGGTTACTTTTTTTCTTTTCCTTGCATCTTTTTCCTCTCTTTCGACATCAGCACTCAACCCATGCGAAGCCAGGAAGATTGGGCTCACCAATTTCGACACCGGTGCTCGACCCGGACCATCATAGCGTTTCCCTTTTCCTTTCTACACGACTCAGGTTTTTTTCATTTACACCTTTTTATCTGCCCTTTTGACGCCGGTGCTCGATCCGGGCTGTGTTTATAGTGCTTTTTTTCATATCTTTAAATCTGACTCCGGTGCACAACCCGGGCTTTTACTTGATGACTTAAAACCCAAACCCTCAATCGTTAAACGCCGTGGATCGAGACCTTTGCAATCGTTTTCTTTTTTTTCGATACCGGTGCTCGACCCGGGTTGTGTCATAGTCTTTTTTTTTTCCCCTTGTTAATTTTGACGCTGGTGTTCGAACCAGTTCCGATTCCGCCTTTTTGTGAAGCTTATGACCTCATTACCCGTTCACCTCAGCGCGTTCAGCCTCGCCGAGGATCGGGCTTTGTTTCTTTTCCGTTTCCGGCCTCTGACAGCAGCAGGGACTCACTGCTCCAACAGCAAAAACTTAGGCCACTAGGGCATCAATGCTATAGCCCATGAAACTGGGGAATTGGAAGCATCATCACCCAAGATCACATCATCCTTTCTCCCCACCATTCACCATTCACCAGAAGTTTGAACCTTCACCTGGAATTTTTGATTCCTTGCACCATGTACATTACAGAAAACTATGTCACTCAGTAATCAACATCAAGCCACTTCAACATGATTCACTCATCAAATGAGTATTTTTCCACCATAAAAATAATGTTTGCTCAGAAATTGAACATCAAACTATTTCAACATCAGTCATCCAACAAGTTTTTTACTCAACCATCATGTATATTACTCTTACATTTTCAGCCATCAATATTTTCATTATTGAGATTCATCAAGCAATCATCAATTTTCTTCCTGGTTTCATCCTCATCAAGAAGTTGCCATTCATTCATTCATCAATTATCAGCATCCATCAATCATTTCTTCCATCCAACATCATGAACCAGCATTCATCATTCAATTCATCCATCCATCAACCATCCTTTCTGGCACCATGTAATCTACTCTGGCATTTTGGAATCATCAATTTTCACCTGCAATGAATACCACTGGTTGCTCCATGTCAGCCTCTGGGTAACTAACCTGAGTATTTAATAGTAAAAAGGTTGTTACTATGAGTTGACTGAAGTTTTTGAGCGTGGTGAGTGTTAAGTAGTGGGTTATTAATACCTGTCCTGTAAAGAGGAGGTTTCACTCTATCAGTATGGTCTTTACTGAGAGGCTTGCTATCAACAGCGCATCCGGATCAATACAAGGTATTAATAGGCATCCAGGGTACTAAGACTCACCTGGGATTGATTTGGTTATTCCCAAAAGGGAATGGGCTAACAATACTTATTAAGCTTTAACAAAATTAGTTGAAGATTAACAGGTATTGTTGATGGGAATATTCAGCAAGGCTATGAATACTGTGGATAAGTTGAGTAAGAGTACTGAAGCTTAAGAACAATAAATGTAGACAAGATTTATGTTGGTTACGTGTACTGTATCAATATAAATGTTAACTGGTTTAACTGGTGTCTGAATATTCTGGGGATTAATCAGTGAAAGAGGCACGGATTATAAGTTCCAGAATACTGAAGGGGGGAAAGAATGAGCGCTCAGAATCAAGGGAGCTTTGGCCAGGAGAATGAGCACATCAATTGAGTGACTGATCATTATTTGTCATGATCTGTAAGTGACATCATATTTGTGTACTAGTTGATCAATGTACTAGTTGCTCTTGATGCGTGTACTTAACAGATCCTCTAATAATGTAGTCATAATTGGGATCAGTGCATGTATTGAATGTATTAATTCCATTGACACTTAATACTTACTATTTAGTACATGTACATATTTATTTGTAATAATATTTGACCGTGAAAATACTGTAGCAGAGGGATAACTTGTGGTACAGGTATTTTACTGACAAGGGAGTGAAAGGTAAGTGATAATTACTTATGTAGAACACAGGTATGTATTTAATAGATAAGTAATTAACAGATAAGATAACTGTAAGATAAATAAGGTAAGTTAATAATAATGATAAGATAACAAGAGGTAAAGGTAATCAACATTATGGATGAGTACTTATGTACATAAGTACAGGTGTTGCAGTTACTTGGTACATGAAAGGTACTGTGACATGTACTCTGTGGCTGACACATCCTGTCATACCGCTCCCTGTAGCACACCCGCTCCTCCGCCGCCACCGCTCTCACCTCCGCGGCTACCTCCGGAGGGGTCCACCTGGTTCCCCGTTCCAAGATACCAATGTGAGACTTCACCTTGGCCTCTTTTCCCTTAGCCGTTGCTGAAGACTCTGCACTTCTTCTCTTACGCACCTCGTCCCGCAGAATAGCTGCCTCTATCTTTTCACCGTCCAGATAATAGTCCCTCATTGTCAGGCGAACCCCTAAGGTCTTGATGTCGGTAGTGAGGTCTTCGCAGTCAGACTTGAAGTGCCCCGTCATTCCGCAATAACTGCAAGCGGGCAGCCCTCTCGGCTTGAATCCCGGCCCCTTTGTCGCCCTCTCCGCCGCTGCAGGAGTAGTTTTGGCCCCCGCACGACCCGCCGGCGGCTTCCAGGCCTGAGTCACTGTCTTCTGCATGAACAGGCGTAGCTCCTTGAGCGTATCCGCCAGTTCACCAACTTCCTTCGCGGACACCGGTGTGGTGTTCTAAACGGTACAGGCCCCCTCAAGGTCAAATTTCAAATTTCAACTTTCAACTTTTCAATATCCTCAAGACTCAAGATTTCAATATTATCACCTCAAATCCCCACTCAGTCCAATGGTTTCCTCATTTTATTATTTTATTCCATTTCCTCTTATTATTTACTCTTCATATTATTTTTTATTCATCTTGATTTTATTTTTTATTTTATCATTTTATCATTCTTACTTATCTTTTTCCAATCACCTACTCAGAAGACAGTCTTGTTTAACTTTCTTGGTCCTAAGACATCTCAGGATGTTGGTTTATTTCACTCTTGATTATTTTGGGTTGTGTTGTGTTGTTTTGTTTTGTTTTGTTTTGTTTTGTTTTGTGTTGTTTTGTTTTGTTTTGTTTTGTTTTGTTTTGTTTTGTTTTGTTTTGTGTTGTGTTATTTTGTTTTGTTGTGTTCTGTTCTGTTCTGTTCTGTTCTGTTCTGTGTTGTGTTGTGTGTGTTGTGTTGTGTTGTGTGTGTAGTGTTGTGTAGTGTGGTCTTGTTTTTGTTTTTTGGTTGAGTTGTGTTGTAGTTAGGGATGTGATGACATGTCTGTGACATGTCACTCCCCAGAGTCAAAGTTCAGTTTGAACTGAGATGATTGGGAAGCATGGCACTCTGATCTGATCCAAGATAGACCCATCAATTTTATTGATCTTTTCATTCTTGATACTTCTGATCCTCCTCATATCCTCAAGTTCACTCAAACTCAACAACCGCCACAGAAATCGATTTCTGTTGTCTCCTCTCAGAAAACCAGCCAACCCCAACGCTTTTTTTGTTCAGATCACAGCTCACTCATCCGGACCCCACTTGAAGGCAGCCCTCAAAGCACTTTGATGAAAAACAGGAATAATTACTGAAAGTAGAACCAGAGCTGGTAGAAAATGAATGACAAGAGTTAATCATAAGAAACAAGATAAAAAGTAGAAAGAAGAAAAGAATAACAAAGAGAATGAAATTCACCACGAGTAGAGTCGTTTTTTGACTTAGACAGAACAGAAAGGCTGAAGTAAATAATGTCAAACAATGACAAATAGTAAACACTGTTTTTGAACAGGAGAAAATAAGGATTAATGATTTGATTTAGTGAGAGAGAAAAGTATGTGAGTTGTTTTCTCACCAAATTGGCAAAAGCCAAGAGAACAATTCTAGAGAGAGAGTCGGCGGTATGAGAAGCAGTGGTGGTTGAAGAGATGTGGATGGGATAAGTGACCATTGACGTTGAGACTGAACGATGAGTGAGAAGAGCGATAAGAAATAGTGAAAGAGTGAGGAAAAGAAGCGGAGTCGAAGAAGTAGAAGGAAGGGAATCGTGGATGAGTTAGATGGTTGATGTTGGCGAGGATGAGAAGTGATCTGAGCAGTAAGGTTAGTCGGTTTATTGGTTGAGAGATGATGGTTGGTGGACTGAGTGTCGGAGACTGCTGAGAGAAGGGGGAGATTGGATTGGTGATCGAGCCATGTTTTATACTCGAGAAGTGGTTGGTTCAGCTTGTGGTTGGAGATGATCAATTAGGGTTGTTTCTAAGTGATTAAGCCGAGTCGGAGGACGAAACAGAGGATGAGAAGGAGGCGGTTTGATGAGGCGTTTGGGAACGGAGAGGATGAGGTGTTTCAATGAGGCGTTGGAAGGGAGAGGAAGATGATGGCAATGATACAGAGAGACGAGAGACAAGAGCAGAGAGAGTGAGAGTGACAGAGAGGAGAGAACGGAGCGTGCGGAGAAAGCGGAAGAAAAGCGGAAGAAAGAAAAGAAAATAGAGAAAGAAATGTAGGAGATACAAGCAAAGACGGAGAGAATTCCAACACAATTTCCCTTCAACCAACTTCCTACCGCCTGGCACGATAGGAGTTCCACATTTGGTCCCCCGAGCCGGGATCGAACCAGCGACCTCAAGATTTACAGTCTCGTCTTACTTGGTCTTCTTTCAGGCGACAGGTGTTCTAACCTTGAGGATTTCTAGCGTCTGGCTCTTGTTTCAGGACCTCTAGCCTCCTTTCAGGACCTCTAGCCTTGTTTCAGGATCTCTAGCTCTGGTTTCAGGACACTTTTTTAGGTTTGCTTTTGGGTGATAACTTCGATCGCTTATATCTCTCTCACTGTTCGTATTCGTGGAAAGGTGTCGCGGACGAAATTGTAGGAAGGATCCGTGGCTTTAAGCTGAAATCAAGATCGTCAAAATCGGCCCAGTGGTTCAGAAGTTATTGACCCATGAAGTTCAAACCTGTTTTTTTGCTTACCTCGTTTTCGGAGCCTTTTAACACGTTACCTGTTCGTTTTCGTCGATCAAGTCCGCAGACAAAGTTGTAGACGTCGATTAGCGCTTCTTGCTGAAATCAAGACCGTCAGAATCGGATCAGTGGTTCAAAAGATATCAGCTTTCAAAGTTCAAACTCAAGTTTTCGCTTTTCTCACCTTTGGATCCTTCTAGCGCCTTACCCGTTCAATCTGGTGGATAACGTTTGCCGACAAAGTTGTAGCGGTTGGTTAGGGCTTTTAGCTAAAATCAAGATTGTTGAAATTGAACCAGCGGTTCCAAAGTTATTGCTGTTTGAGTAAAACGCCTCAAACTCTCTCTCAGGCTTTCCTCTTCTTTGAATCAGTCTTTTCTACACATCACGTGGCGTATATTGTGGAGGCCTTAGGACCAGAAGTAAGTCCCCTCCAGTTGTGAACCTCTGAAGAATCACTACTATCTGTGAAAGACATCATTGCCACTTTGTGAGCCATCCTTGTTCGCCATTTGCTTTCCTTAGAGTTCAATCAATCAAGACAGAATGGCCGACAACGGAGGAGGATCTTCTAGCGACACCATGGTCAAGATCAAGCCTCAGAATTAGGATCTAGCGTTTAATGGGAGCAATTTCAAGTGTTTTCTTTCTGAATATCAACTAGCTGCGCGTTTGGATGGAGCGTCGGAGAAGGATATGGCTCAACAGCTAGGATTTTTCATCGCAAAGGACGATCTGTTGGATGTTGTCAAGACTTTGGAAGGATACGAGCCGCCGGACTGGCCTAAGTTGAAGGCTTCTATGATAGCGTACTGGGGAAACGTTGATACCACCAAGTTTAGTTTGCCTGATCCCAAGCCTTCTGATCAATCACTGGAAGAAGAAAATCCCCGGAATCTTGAGCACGGTGTGGTCATTATTCCTGTGTATGAAGGGAGAAAATTCAAAATTTTATTATTTATCAATCAAGGACTCAAGATATGGACAAATGGACTTCAGAAATGGAATCTACGGCCAATTAAACCCCTAGTCACTCACTGGAACCACCTTCATATCTCTACTGGATCAGAAGTTACGCAGAATCAAGGATGTCACACGGAGAATCACAGGATCAGAGGCACTCAGCTGGAGGGTATATTGCTTGGGGGTATATTGCATATTGCATATTGAATTCCTTTTATTCATATTGAATTCCTTTTATCCATACAGAACCACAAGTTGGCCACCAGTTGTACCAGTTAAATTCCCATTTATTCAGCCAAAAAACACATGAATTCCTTTCTTACAGCTTACATATAAAAGGAATGCGTTGTAGATAGTCTAGCCAAAATCCCTCAGGATTTTCAAGGATAGGGCAGCTAAAATGCCTCATACAGGGGGTCCCTTGGGGCTAAAATCCCTCATAATTTACTATATAAGGAGGCCACTGCCTGCCAGTTGTTTCCCTCCTCATCCCACTCAGTACACATTTTTTGGTGGGACACCTGTCACAGATTATACATATTTATTACACAAGATGTCAGCCTCTGGGTAACTAACCTGAGTATTTAATAGTAAAAAGGTTGTTACTATGAGTTGACTGAAGTTTTTGAGCGTGGTGAGTGTTAGGTAGTGGGTGATTAATACCAGTCCTGTAAAGAGGAGGTTTCACTCTATCAGTATGGTCTTTACTGAGAGGCTTGCTATCAACAGTGCATCCGGATCAATACAAGGTATTAATAGGCATCCAGGGTACTGAGACTCACCTGGGATTGATTTGGTTATTCCCAAAAGGGAATGGGCTAACAATACTTATTAAGCTTTAACAAAATTAGTTGAAGATTAACAGGTATTGTTGATGGGAATATTCAGCAAGGCTATGAATACTGTGGATAAGTTGAGTAAGAGTACTGAAGCTTAAGAACAATAAATGTAGACTAGATTTATGTTGGTTACGTGTACTGTATCAATATAAATGTTAACTGGTTTAACTGGTGTCTGAATATTCTGGGGATTAATCAGTGAAAGAAGCACGGATTATAAGTTCCAGAATATTGAAGGATGGAAAGAATGAGCGCTCAGAATCAAGGGAGCTTTGGCCAGGAGAGTGAGCACATCAATTGAGTGACTGATCATTATTTGTCATGATCTGTAAGTGAAATCATAATTGTGTACTAGTTGATCAATGTACTAGTTGCTCTTGATGTGTGTACTCAACAGATCCTCTAATGATGTAGTCATAATAGTGATCAGTGCATGTATTGAATGTATTAATTCTAGTGACACTTAATACTTACTATTTAATACATGTACATATTTATTTGTAATAATATTTGACCGTGAAAATACTGTAGCAGAGGGATAACTTGTGGTACAGGTATTTTACTGACAAGGGAGTGAAAGGTAAGTGATAATTACTTATGTAGAACACAGGTATGTATTTAATAGATAAGTAATTAACAGATAAGATAACTGTAAGATAAATAAGGTAAGTTAATAATAATGATAAGATAACAAGAGGTAAAGGTAATCAACATTATGGATGAGTACTTATGTAGGGATAAATTGTGGTACAGGTATTTCACGGACAAAGGAGTGAAAGGTAAGTGATAATTACTTATGTAGAACACAGGTATGTATTTAATAGATAAGTAATTAACAGATAAGATAAATGTAATATAAATAAGG